AAGATGTTGTGTCCGCCGAGAACTAAGAAAAAATAAATAAATATTAAAATTCTCTCTCTCTCTCTCTGTCCCCCTCTCTCTCTTACTCTCTCTTTAAAAAATAAAAAATAAAAAAAAGTAGTAAATTCTGAGAACTTTGGGTCTGAAAAAAAATTTTTGAAATATTACCAAAAGCATAAGCAAAAACAATGAAAAATTAAGATAAATTGAACTTTATTAAAAATAACAATGTTTGACAGGCTTGGCGGTGCATGCCCATAATCCCATTAGCTCAGGAGCTGAGGCAGGAGGATGGCAAGTTCAAAGTCAGCCTCGGCAATATAGTGAAGCCCTAAACAAGTCAGCAAGACCCTGTCTCTAAATAAAATATAAGGGGCTGGGGATGTGGTTCAAGCGGTAGCGCGCTCACCTGGCATGCGTGCGCCCCGGGTTCGATCCTCAGCACCACATACCAACAAGGATGTTGTGTCCGCCGAGAACTAGAAAATAAATATTAAAAAATTTTCTCTCTCTCTCTCAAAAAAAAAGATGTTAAAAAAAAATAAAATATAAAAAAGGGCTGGGGATATGGTTCAGTTGTTAAGTGCCCCTGGGCTTAATCCTGATACAAAAAAAAAAGGGAATCCCATGATCCCATGATAGGGTTCTCTCTTAAATAATAATAACAACAATGTTTGTGCTTCAAGAAATATCATCAAGAAAGTGAAAATCCAGGGCCAGGCAGGATGACACATCCCTATAAACCTAGCAACTCAGAGGCCGAAGCAGGAGGATTCCAAGTTTGAGAATGTTTCCTAAAAAGCCTGGAGATGTGGCTCAGGGTTGCTCCAGGGTTGAATCCCTAATAACACACTTTTACACACACACACACACACACACACACACACACACACAGTAAAAATACAGCCTACATAATAGGAGAAATTATTTGCAACACGTATCTTATAATGCACATATCCTAAATATTTGATAATTTACAACTCAGTAAAAGACAACCCAATTTAAAAATGGGCAAAAGAAAGACTCTTCTCCACTAGACATATAATATATAAGTCCAAAAAGCAATAAATGCTTGACATTAAAGAAATATAAATCTGCTGAGTGTGGTGGTGCACGCCTATAATCCAGCGGGCAGGGAGGCTGAGACAGGAGGATGGTGAATTCAAAGCCAGCCTTGGCAAAAGCTAGGTGCTAGTGGTAGGCAACTCAGTGAGACCCTGTCTCTAAATGACATATAAAATAAAATAGGGCTGGGGATGTGGCTTAATGGTTCAGTCCCCTGAATTCAATCCCTGGGTACCAAAAAAAGAAAAAAAGGAAGAAATACAATGAAACCCACAATGAGATACCAATTCATACCTACTCAAATAGGCTACAGTAATAAAAATAATAATACTAACAAATTTTGTTGGTGCAGATACTGAGAAATGACAAATTTCATATATTGCTGAGGGAGTATAAAATGGCATACATTGTCCCACTTTGAAAAGAGATTGGCAGTTCCTTATAAAGTTAAACGTAAGGGCTAGAAAAGTAGTTCTGGGGTAAAGCATTTGCCCAGCAAGCAAAAGGGCCATGATTTCCATTATCCAGCAACACCAAAAAAAAAAAAAAAAAAAGAAGAAGAAAAGAAAAAGAGAAAAAAATAGCATTTAAATGTCACAAGAGAAATGTGGAAATAACCTAAATATCTAAAGGAATTTTATTTTTGGTACTGGGGTTGGAACTCAGGGCCTCAAGAGTACTAGGCAGGCACTCTACTGCTTAACTACAAAACTACAACCCCACCTCCAGGAATTTTTTAAAAAGAATATTCTCACCTCAAACTATTATTACTTCAACTTACTGGTTCCAACTGCAATGA